TCTGGCTTGTCTTAAATACTATAATAGAATTTTCGCCCTAGTCGCGTTAGGGTAGCGAATCGGAATTCATTTTATAAAATTTCTAGCAGTCAGCCAGATCGCGAACCAAGCTACTGTGAAAATCACTAATCACGCTTTGATAAAACGTGACCTTTATAGCTGTAAAACACTGCACGAGTTCGAATTGAAAAGATATGGAATAGGGCCGGGAGCAAGAGTCAGAGAGACAGAGAGAGAGAGAGAGGAGGAGAGGGGAGAGAAGGACGCGAGAGACGGAGGGAGAGGGAGAGAGACGAAGAAGGGAAGACACGCCGACGACGAGACAGATGGAAGCCAGAGAGAGGACCGACAGAGGACAGAAGAAGAGAGAGATGAGGGAGATGGAGAGAGAGGGAATAGACGGAGAGGAGAGAGGAGAGAGAGAGAAAGAGAGAGAGAGAGAGGAGAGAGACGTGACGAGGAGAAAGAAGAGACGAGAAAAAGATAGACAAGGAGAGAGAGAGAGAGAGAGAGACGAGAGAAGAGAGGAGAGAGCAGAGATGAGAAGAGAGAGGAGAGGACGAGATGAGGAGAGCTGAATGAGAGAGAGGAGGGGACAGGCGAGCTGCTGCTGAATCGATCGCGCTAAGGCGAGCTGCTGCTGAATCGATCGCGCTAAGGCGAGCTGCTGCTGAATCGATCGCGCGAACACTAGTGGCTACGCACACACACTAACACACACACGAACACACACACGAAACCGATTACATTACCTCTTTGGCGGAGGTAATAATGTATATCAGACAATGTATATAATGTAGTGTAATACGTTTTTAAACACTTAAGTTTTTAAGGCTATAACCGAGCAAAGTTTATTGAAGCGTTTAACTTGATACCGAGGTATCTTTGTAACAGTATTTTAATTGGGTTGAGTCATCAGTTCTATTTTACAATCCAGTCCGTATCCACCAGCCCGTACTGATTGCTATCTCTATGCTTCAAAATACAAAACAAATTTGTCTGTCCATAGTTTTCAAAATTGTTTTCCTACAGCTCATCAGCACAATTTTACAAGGAGAACCTAATTTCTATCTTTAAGCCTCAGTATATTAACATTGTAGGGAAAATATCCCTGTTGTCCCCATATGCCCTTTTTTTCGCTAATGTATTTTCCTTAATTTAATTTAAATAATTGAAAATTAAAACTTTTAACTATTATCGCACTTAAGCAGAGTATTAAGTAGCCAAGAGGTCTCCTGACTCACTGCGTTTTTCAAAATTAGATATGGGCTCATTAACATAGAGCATATATACTGTCACTCGCACGCGGTCTATTCACAGACACTGCATGAATGGCCGCGCTAAACGCAAGGCATACGTACAGTCGCTCTACGTATAAACTAACGCTAAGAACTTTAAGAAACTCACGCTCGCTCATTTTGAACGCACGCATTCAGTCTGTACATTATATATAATCTAAATCGATTCTACTTGATTTCCGATCACAAGACGAACGCTAAGAGGGGGTTGAATCCGTATAAAACTCGATGCAAAAACAATTCACGATAACAAAATTGGGCGTTTTCACGCCAGGCCAGCAATCACGACTGTCGATAAAAATGGGTTTCACGCTATGCATGGTCACATCACCTCTCACGCTATGCCTTACTCATGGCATTGACTAACATATGCGGATATACTGCTCACGCAAAATGTCTGATCAATTTCTATGATATAAACTCGACTAGTGGTGCCCCCGGACGGCCCGTCTTTGTGCACACCGAAGGTTTGAGTTAATATATGCAGCGGCACGCTCTCCCTACTGGCAATTTAATACAAAACAGGGAATTAAATATGGGAATTCACTGGGAATTCGACTAATCTGAATTCGTGGGCAACAGTGACTGACTTGACACAGCGTTTGTTGGTAAGCATGTCATCGTAGCATCGTTGAAAAATTTTGGGATTGAAAAGCGCACGAAAAACTATAATAAAACTTAAATCAATTTAACTATTTTTTTCCAATTAACGCAAATATTTACATGATTTATTTACAACAATTTAATAACAACAAATAATTTTGTTTTGTTTAAAGGGTTAGGGTTAGGGTCACAATGCACCATAAAACAGAAGTTTGAGGCACGTGATTTGTATCAACCAATGGGATTTGGGAGCTATGCAGGCCCTAGCTGCGTGTGTGTAACACAGCTGTATATTTCGGCGTCGTTGAATTTCTTTTGCGTTTCGCGTGATTGACGGAGCAGTTCTTCAGTGATTCTCATGCAATAGCGATGTTTCATGTTTATAAACATTGACGTCATATGCGCACATGCGGAGTTTAACGGTTGGCAGCAAGCAGATGCGTGATATTGTTCGATACAAGTACACGCACGCACGCACGCACGCACGCACGTGTACGTGTACGTGAACACACACACTCATGCGCGCACGTGTACGTGCACACGCACGCACGCACGTGCACATGCATGCACGCACGCACGCACGTGTACCTGCACACACACGCACGTACGCACGCACGCACACGTGCACACACGTGTACCTGCACACGCACACACGCACGCACGCACGCACGAACGTGTACCTGCACACGCGCGCACGCACGCACGAACGTGTACCTGCACACGCGCGCACGCACGCACGAACGTGTACCTGCACACGCGCGCACGCACGCACGTGTACGTGCACACACACAGACGCACGCACGCATGCACGCACGTGTAAGTTCTCACGCACGCACGCACGCACGTGTACGTGCACACGCACGCACACACTCATGCACGCACGTGTACGTGCACACGCACGCACGTGTACGTGCACACGCACGCACACACGCACGTGTACGTGCACACGCACACACACACTCATGCACGCACGTGTACGTGCACACGCACGCACGCACGCACGTGTACGTGCACACACACGGACGCACGCACGCACGCACGTGTACGTGCCCACGCACGCACGTGTACGTGCACACGCACGCACGCACGCACGTGTACGTGCCCACACACGGACGAACGCACGCACGCACGCACGCA